TTTTCAGGAACTGGTGCTATTAGGCTCTGGGGCACATTGCTATACCAAGGAGTTGGAACTTCCCCCTGGTATACACATTTTTCTCACACGGCTCTGATATTGAGGGATTCAGAGGTGCTTTGTGCAATCATCATTCTGCCGTATTGGCCCAAGAGACCGTGGTTTACCCTCTTTTCCCAATGACAGTGGCCCCTCCATGGCTTCTGCAAGCAGGATCTTCTCATCCAGAAAAAATTACTGTTCCCCGGTCTGGCACATCTTTTTTTTCACTAGAAGAAAACAGCAGAAAAAAGAGAGGGCGCACCAGCGTATTGCATTATCCAAGACATTTTTAATATAAATCCAATATAAAACTACTACCCACAAGCATTGAAGTAAAAAACGCTCATCAAACCCCACTTCTGTGGCCATATATTTCTAGATAGGACAGTCTCCAAAGCATAGGGGGCCACACCAGGGTCCATGAAGGCTGACGCATTTCGAAGGAATATCCTTCTTCCTCGGAGCCTTGAGCCACATCTTTTTTTTTTTAGCGACATGGCTAATGCAAGGGGCGTGTTACAAGTATTGAATCTTTCAAAGGATGTAATTTCTACCCATCTTCAAGCAAAGTCATCTAAAACTTCCACCTATTTTTGCATATATTCTGCCTTGCATATGTTCTTGGATTTTGCTCAAAGAAGAGGGTGTGCACCAGTTTCCCACAACTTGTCTGATTTCTTGGAGTTCCTCCAGTCTGCACTGTTGAAATGCCAAAGCTATAGTTCCATCAAGGTTAAGATTGAACCATTATAGATATTGATAAAATAAATGGCACCAATGAAATAAAGTGGTTCCAAAGGCTGAGGGTTTTTTTTTCCCTGCATGCTCTCTGTGCATGAAGGAAAAAACTTCAGTGTGCAGCTAGCCCCCAATACTTACTGAGCTTAATCCAATGATGTGCATGAGAGCAGTGGCTCTCCTGGGTCTCTCCCTCTCATTGGCTGAGACACAGCAGAGGGAGCAATTGGCTCTCACTACAGTCAATCACAGGCAGTGAGGAGGGTGTATGGCTGAGCTGCTCTCTGTGTGTCTTATGAAAACACAGGCAGTCCAGGAGCAAGCATGAGTGCCCCCAGAGCAAGCAGTTTGCTCTGGGGGCATTCAGCAGGGGGGAGGAGCCAGGAGCACCAGCGGGGTACCCAAGAAGAAAAACAGGATTTTGCACAGAGCAGGTAACTTTATTGTACTTTTAGTATCACTTTAAGGCTACCAAGGAAACACCTATTTCTGTCTTGGGGTCTCCCTTTTGGTGCTTCAAGTTTTAATGTCTCTTTCTTTCCACCTGTAAAAGACCTGCTAATGGTGGCATCTTACCTTGAAGTTGGTTTTTCTAACAGCATTACAGCAGCTAGAAAGGTGGTGGAATTGGGAGCATTTTCCTATAGACAGTGCACCTGTGCCTTTCTCCTTACCATTGCTCTTGCCAGCAAATCCTGGCTGTCAAAATAAAAGCTGCGATTTGCTCTGTATAGCTAAAGCCACTTCTATGGAAAATAAGGCTTTCACAAGCTAAACACTGGGCCTTTTTTTTTCTGGTGCAACTTTGCATAGAAACCAATCAGCATCCAGGTTTTATTGCCAAAGCCTAATTGAACAACCTGAAGTTAGAAGCTAATTGGCTACCATGCACAACTGCCAAATTCTGAGTGCACCAGTATTAGCAAATCTACCCCAGTGGTTCCAACTGTAATCAGAAGCTTTGATAAATAATATTATCGTTACATGGAGCTTACTCTTTCAGTTGTGAACAGCGCAGAGAATCTAAGAAATGATAAGCTGCAATATATAATTTTTTTGTTTTTTAGTTCAGTATCACTTGAAAGCTAGCTGCCTGCCTTTGAACCTCAAGTTCTTTTTACAATGCGGTGCACAAAACCAGAGTTTGAATTCTAGGTGTGGTCTAAAGAGTGAGCTGTACTAACTGAATTATATACTCACTGTCCTCTTTATTAGGTACACCTGTTCAATTGCTTGGTAACACAAATTTACAATCAGATAATCACATGTCAGCAACTCAATGCATTTAGGCCTCTAGATGTGGTGAAGACAACTTGCTGAAGTTCAAACCGAGCATCAGAATGGGGAAGAAAGGGGATTTAGGTGACTTTGAACGTGGCATGGTTGTTTGTGCCAGAGGGGCTGGTCTGAGCATTTCAAAAACTGCTGATCTACTGGGATTGTCATGCACAACCATCTCTAGGGTTTACAGAGAATGATCCGAAAAAGAGAAAATATCCAGTGAGTGGCAGTTGTGTGGACGAAAATGCCTTGTTGATGTCAGAGGAGAATGGGTAGACTCATTTGAGCTGATAGAAAGGCAACAGTAACTCAAATAATCACTCGTCACAACCAAAGTATGCAGAATATCATCTCTGAACGCACAACACGTTGAACTTTCAAGCAGATGGACTACAGCAGCAGAAGGCCACATCGGGTGCCACTCCTGTCAGCTAAGAACAGGAAACGGAGGCTACAATTCGCACAGGCTCACCAAAATTGGACAATAGAAGATTGGAAAAATGCCTGATCTGATGAGCCTCGATTTCAGCTGCAACATTCAGATGGTAGGGTAAGAATTTGGTGTAAGCAACATGAAAGCATGGATCCATCCTGCCTTGGACCAACGGTTCAGGCTGGTGGTGGTGGTGTAATGGTGTGGGGAATATTTTCTTGGCACACTTTGGGCCCCTTAGTACCAATTGAGCATCATTTAAATGCCATGGCCTACCTGTGTATTGTTGCTGACCATGTCCATCCCTTTATGACTACAGTGTACCCATCTTCTGATGGCTACTTCCAGCAGGATAATGCACCATGTCACAAAGCTCAAATCATCTCAAACTGGTTTCTTGAACATGACAATGAGTTGACTGTACTCCAAAGGCCTCCACAGTCATCAGATCTCCATCCAATAGAGCACCTTTGGGATGTGGTGGAATGGGAGATTTGCGTCATGGATGTGCAGCCCACAAATCTGCAGCAACTGTGTGATGCTATCATGTCAATATGGACCAAAGCCTCTGAGGAGTGTTTCCAACACCTTTTTGAATCTATGCCACAAAGAATGAAGGCGGTTCTGAAAGAAAAAGGGGGTCAAACCTAGTACTAGCAAGGTGTACCTAATAAAGCATCATATTTTTATCTCAGGTATACATCCCACTTTCACCTAGCTGTATTCAATTTACATATATATATAACAACTTAGAACCTTATCTAATCTTATAATATTTAAAATGTTGTTGTAATTTCAAAAGACATTTTCTTTACTTTTAACTGTTGTATTCAATAAAATAATACCCAGCCATCCTGCCAATTAAATGTCCTTGTTTAAGCACTTTTTTCTAAGGGGTGGTAACACTGTTCCTGTATCCCATATGTTTTCTCAATAGAAACTACAAGCAGCAATGCTAATGCACATGGCAAGGCAAGGGTTGAGATGCAATAATGTATGAAAAAAAAACATGGTAGTTGTTCATGGTACACACTGCTTTAGTAAACTAAATGTCATTCAGTTATGTTTTTACATATACATTAATGCACAAGAGGTAATGCTGTTTCATTGGTTAGATGCACAACTGCACAATATTCAATTTAAATAGTTTTTTGTTTTGTTAAGATGCCTGTGAAAATCATCACTATTCTGCTCATTTTTACTAATTGTACATAATTTTGTGTCATCAGCAAAACTGGAAATATTGCTAAATGTTTAATTAGAACCCTCATTAACCCCTTGACGCCGATCGCACACAAATATGCAGCCTCTCCGTGTCTGGGCCTTGATGCCGAGCGGTCACATATTTGCGTGCAATTAAAAAATACATATGTGCTGAGAGTGTGCGCCCTGCACATATGTCCGCTACTCTCGGAAAGGTCCCGATCTCCCCTTTCGATCAGGACCTTTTTCGATCATGTGACTGCCGTGATGGCGAATCACGGCGGTCACATGACCCAAAAGCCCTGCTTTGCCTCCCGGTTTCTGAAACTCTTAAAGGGCCAGGAGGCGCCAGCTCCAAGAGGTTAATATACACATTGAAAAGAACAGGACCCAGCATTGCTGAATGCAGTCATTTGGCCAATAATTTTTTTGCCCAGCTCAGCTGATTTTTAAATCGACTTTTGTCGATTTGGGTCTTGCAGACAGGGCCTCCCACGACTTGAATTTAGGCCTGTTCTTCAGGAATCTTCCAAAGTTTGAGCCATGTATGGCTAGCTTTACACTTGAGAATGCACAGATAGAATGCACAGAAAATTACACAGGTCATTGGATTGCTGATAAGGTCAAGAGCTGTTTTTTTTTTTTTTTTTGTACAGATATAACAAAGCACTTTAGGGTTAGGATTTACATACCCTTTACAGTTCAGTAATACAAAATTATTGAAGCCATATGGAATTCAGCAGTAAGTGCCAGTATATTTCCTCAGCACAGGATTCTTCCAATCCCTTATCTAATAAGTTGATGGGACAGACCAATAATTATGTTTAAATATAATGATCGATCAAAGATATTTACTTTAGTCAGATCATTGAGAAATATACAGTACCTGATATACTGGCATAATGTAATGCACATTGCAGGAAGTTTGCCTTACTGATTATGCTTGTGTATGTGACAAAAGTTTACATAGTATTTATTAATGATTTGTTTTAACAAATGTATTAAAGTTACATTCTTACACACAAAGAAAATGAAAATATACTTTTTTTAAGGAAATAATAAGACAGATATGAAACAATGGCAGTTTAGCTTGCATATAATTTGCAATATTTTAGTCATAACTAAAGTTCATCTACAGTCATTTAAATTTTCACAATGCAAAAGGAAAAGGATAGTTTTTTTTTTTTTAGCCATCATAGACTACCTGCTGGAATTTTGTGGAGCCTATAACAGAACTTGTTTTCAGCAGCCATTTTATCATTATTTGATCCAGAACAACATACATGATTTATAAAACAAATTTCTAATTTGCAGGGAAAGAAATACTAGCATCTGGTGTCTGCTTAAACAAAGTATCTTCTTGATAAAACTGACTGCCCTGATTTTGTAAAATGCCGTATAACTCCTGCTGAAGCACTTTCAGATTGGTCTTCACTTCTCCCATGACCCTTTCAACCTCCTCTCGTTCCCTGTGCAGTCCTTCTCTCTCTGTTCTCAACTGATCTATCTCCGTTTCCAAAATAGCAATGTTCTCCATCTTGCGCTTGCGGCAATTTTGTGCAGCTACTTTATTCTTCCCACGTCTACGAATGTCCCTGACCAAAGCCAGCTGTGATTCTGTTAATTTGTAGCGTGACAGAAGTTCGTTAAAGTCCTCCACAGGTAGATTGATGATTCTTTCTATAGGAAATGGAATTTGCATCGCAACTGCCCTTCTCTCATCCCTACTGCAGACCAGTTCTTGAGTTCGAGATGTAATGTAGGGTTGGGTTTCGCACAGGTTGTGTTCCATAAAAGACTGTGTTAGTTAGGTTTGTAGTCATATGATACTGGTTTTGATAGACATGTGGTGGAATTATTTCCATAAAGTCTGACTGCAGCCTCTGTGTATCTATGTTATCTATTTCAATCGATTCACCATCACTGAAGTTTAAAGATAAGCCAGAGTCTGATTCAAAATCATCTTGGCCTTTACTGGGCTGGTGTAGGGAATGGACACCATTTAGACAAGCCTCTGGCAATGCTATATGGTCTTGTGCACTCATCCCACTTGTAGGCACCAGCTTTGAAGCATAGTGATTTATGGCACCCATTTGAGACACATTTGACATGAACATTCCTGTGCAGGATGTTGGACCATATTCAGAAACCAAAGAAAGAGTGGGTACTTGCTGAGCTTGAGGAGAAATGGGGTCCAGGTAAAGTCGATCCAAGTTTGACATGCCCTGGCTTGCATTTGGCACGATACTGTCTCTTGGGTTAATTGCAGGACTGCATCCAAAAAACGGCACTGTAGGTGGCTGGCATCCATATTCAGTATTATATGCAGAATCTGAGTGCATATCCAGCCCCTGAATAAGACAAGAAAGAATATTAAATATTTTTCAGTGAAAAGTTTCAGTCATGCAAGACATTGGATATCTTGTATTAGTAATTCAAGAACAACTGAACTTTTATTGCTGTCTTTTCCTCAACTGCGGGATGCACTGTTTGGCCTAGTAATTAATATCACCGAATGAAGATCCAAAAATATTTAATTGTCACCAGCACATGGACAGAGTGTATATCTTTCAGTAGGAACCCTGTTGCCATGACCCCTGTCAGGGGATTTTTACTCACTTTGGAGAGATTTTCTCTCACGTTTTGTTGTGTTCATGGGACAGTACTTACAGGAAAAACAATTCCCTACCCTATCCAAACCTAAAGTTTTGGTGTACCTTTAGCCATTTGTTTTGCTCTCAATAATGGGGAAGGGTTACTCGCTCTCTTCCTGTCCTGGTGACAACTTTCCTAACAAGATGGAAAATCAGCAGGTACACGAACAGTAATGAAAACATTTTTTTTGTAGCGTACTGGAAGACTACCCTTGTCAGCCTTTTACTGCCGTATGTGTTACATTTACAGGATTTTCCTCACTTCCAGCATGGTAATAACATAAGTAGAACATGAAGTGGTGGAAAGTCACCTTAGCTAGATCTCAGGTAGTATTAAAAATATAACATTTCAATTCAGACAAAACCAATGGGCCTCTAATGAAACAATAATGTAAGGCCTTATATACATGGGTATACTTAATAGTACACCTGTGTGAGGGCCGACATGGGATGTACAGGTGTTCTGCGTATGTGCGTGCAGGCAGTCCCATGTTTGTCATTTGGTATGCAGCAGTTGCACGAACACAGCCGCTGCTCCCAATTTGAGATCCATGCGGGTGCATGTCCCTGAATTCAGAAAGCGTGAGTTCAGGAACACAGACCCACACAGATGTCATATTGTGAGCAGCAACTGTATCCGTGCAGCAGGCACAGCCGCTGTTTGAATTGACATTAATGAGACTGCCTTCACGTGGATGCACAGAACACCTATGCATCCCATGCAGGCAAACACGGCTCTTGTACATGATCACTTATGTAAAAGGTGTTTAACATTCCAACAGTAATCAAAACATCCAAAGAACAGAGGTATCACCGCTCAGGCAAACAATCCGGATCAATCCAAGACGGGTGCAGGCTCTGGCTCTCCACCACACGTGATGCAATAGGAAGAAGGGTTAGCTGCACACCGGAGGATTGATGAGTATAGCTTATAGCTTAAGTTATATAACGTATGATGAAGCACAAGATCATGTGAAACCCGTTACCAAGTTCTGTATATATGTCCTGGTGTTTTATGTGTCCTATGGATCAATAAATATTTATTATACTCATCAATCCTCCAGTGTGCGGCTAACCCTTCTTGCTAATAATCAAAACATACTTTAAATTCAAATGGAACAGTGGAGAGATATCCAACACACAACTTATTGCCTTTCCTGGTAGCTCTTAAAATGGTGTTTCACAAGCTTTCAGTATCACCATTATATCAGCATCATACTGCCACCTTTACTGTTAAAAATAACCCAGCCACCTAGACTAACAGCATCTGTGTTCTGTAGGGACTTGGGGGTCCGCATAAATAACCACATCTTGTTATTGGGATGATCCAGTAAAACCCAGAAGTTTTGGATAGTAGCAACACCCATAGAGATGGTGACAGGTTTGCTTTAAAAGCTAACTTAACCAAATGATACTTGATTTCTGAGAAGGCACAGATGAATTGAATCACCTGCTAATTTCTTCAGTGGCAAGAAATCACTGATATTTGACTGTGTCTCCCTGCATTGGTTATAAAGCCAAGGGTATATAACTTAAATATTATTATTATTATACAGGATTTATATAGTGCCAACAGTTTGCTCAGCATTTTACAATATAAAGGGAGACAATACAGCAATGATACAGTTCACTACAAGAGGGATAGGAGGGCCCTGCTCCTTGGAGCTTACAATCTAAGAGGGAGGGGCTGGTGGTACAAAAGGTAATAACTGTGGGGATGAACTGATAGGAGAAATAGAAGATTCGGTTAAAAATGGGCGTATCTTGGAGATGTTGTGGAGGTGATAGTTAGTCGGGTCAACTAATTCAACGAATAGAAAAAAAAAAGAATTAATAAGATGAACACTTCTATATAAATAAGGATGTACCCACAGTTGATCAACAGGAAAAAAAAAACCCTTAGTGTCGGTTCAGACTACTGCAACCTGAAAGTCGCACAACTTATGGTGTGACTTTGCCAGGTGACTTGATGTGACTTTGAAGCCACTTTCATGCAAGGCAACTTTGCCTGTGGCCAATGAGAACATCAGCTACAAGTAATCCTCTTTAAGAATTAGAATCGGCTGAAAATTGCTCGACCGATCCGAATTCTGTGTAAATAATTGCTGGTTGCTAAAGAGTGGACTGGCAAGCCACCCACCATGTCCTTAACAACCAATGACTTATCAGCTGTCTGCAGGGTTCCCCACTGACAGCTGAATGTAAAAAAAAAAAAAGCCAGCAATTCAAAAATTTGAAGAAAAACTGCATGCCCCCCCATCCATACCAGTCCCTTCAGGTTTTAAAGGGAACCCCATGCCAAAATTATAAAAAAAAATGATGTGGGGGCCCACCCCCAAAATCTTTACCAGACCCTTATTTGAGCATTCAGTTCGGATGGTCTGGAAAAGGGGGGGACGAGCTAGCACCCCCCCGGCCACATGCTCTGAAGATGGGGGTTGTGGGGTGCGGGGAGTGTCTTATCGGAATTTGGAAGCCCCCTTTCACAAGGGGGCCCCCAGATCCTGGCCCTCCTCTGTGAATGGGGTACATAGTACCCCTACTCATTCACCAAAAAAGTGTAAAGATAGTAAAAACACAACAACAGCTTTTGACAAGTCCTTTATTTATATAACTAAAAGAAAATTGTCTCCCAATGTAGATCCAACGTCAATCATGATGAACGCTGCCATCTGACAATTCCTAAATAAGCTAAGGCTCGGACCCTGCACCCTCGTTACTTAATCAACCAGAATGCCCTGGTCGATGATGACTCAAGGGGGAAGGGTCACCTGGTGACTTAATCAGGTGGCCCCACCCCTTGGTTATTTAAGAACTGTCAAACGGTCGAGAACTGTCAGCAAGAGCCTCTGTCGGGTGCTGAGCTGTTTTTTTATTTAGGTTGGTGTTCATTGACGTGATTGACATTGGATTTACTTTCAGGTAAATTTATTAAGTGTTGTGTTTTACACTTTTTACACTTTTTGGTGAATGAGTACTCCATACTTATTCACATGGGGAGTGGGGGGCCTAAGATCCTCTTGTAAAAGGGCGCTTCCAGATTCCAGTAAGCCCCCCGCCTGTAGACTCCCACAACCAGAACCCAGGGTTGTGGGGAAGAGGCCCTTGACCTCATCGACATGGGGACAAGGTGCTTTGGGGGGGGCCTCCCTACCTCAAACACAACCCCCATATTGAAGGAATGTGGTTGATGGCCTGGTGTGGTTCTTATTCACCCAAAAGTGTAAAATGTGAGTAAAAACACAACAGTTTTTCACAAGTCGTTTATTAACCAGTTGGGTGCCGTCCTATAGCAAAAATACTGATACAGGGTGGCAGGGCTGCGCAAACTCACGTATATATACGTGATTTGCATGTCTGGGTAGGAGATTTTTTTTTATACTAGTAATGGCGCCAACTTATAGTGGGACTGTGGCGGGCATTCTGACACTGGGGGGGAACTGACTAACTGTTTCTGACATCCAAATGTCACTAATACAGTGATCAGTGCTAATAAAAAGCACTGACACTGTACTAATTACACTGGACAGGAAGGGGTTAACATCTGGGGCGATCAAAGGCTTAACTGTGTGCTGTTTTGCTGTGTGTGATTTACTAGGGAAACATACTGCTGTGTATTTCTCTGCTGTTCAGAGAAATACAAAGCAGCATGTCAATGCTGGCAGGACAGAGACCTGTGTTGTTTACACACAGGTCTCTTCCCTGTCACTGTTCCTCGGCGATCGTCGGGTGCCAGCGGGGAATCGCCAGCCTGGACCTGGTGATCAACATCTATAGCTGCCAATGGCAGCTCGGGTAGGGCGGCGCGTGCACTATCCAGAAATACAAAATCACATATATATATGTGTGATTTTGCGCAGCCCTGCCATCCTGTAGCAGTAGTTCTTCTATAGGGCAGTCTGGAAGCGGTTAGGCACCTGATTGACCCATATAGCTTGATGTCATCTGCAAACATAGAAATAGTATTTTTAAGTCCAAACTTTATATTTATAAATAGGTTAAAAAGTAATGGGTCCCAACACTGAACATTGGGGTACACCACTAATAACCTTGGTTCATTCAGAGTATGATTCATTAATCGCTAATATCTGAATACGACATTTAAGCCAATTTTCTATCTACAGGTGAAACTCAAAAAATTTGAATATCGTGTTCATTTATTTCAGTAATGCAACTTAAAAGGTAAAACTAATATATGAGATAGACTCATTACATGCAAAGCAAGATAGTTCAAGCCGTGATTTGTCATAATTGTGATGATT